TAGGAAAACTGAAGGGTTGATGTGAAATAGCATGGCAGGGAGTTCTTTCTGCCTCTGCTCTGTCAGCATGTGCAGGGAAAGCATTGCTAGAAGATATTGAACTTTTCTGTGTGTTACTTTCTGAACTTGCTGTTTTGGGGGAAAGAGAATAATGCCCATATGCAAGTAAGCCCCTCTTTGGCAGTACTTTTCTCAGTAGCAATGGCTGTCCCGTGTGTGCTGTAGGAGCAAAAAGAGCTTGAGAAGAAATGTGTGCTATCAATAGAGATGAATAATGGCTAAATTCTAGGTTTGCAGTTTATTTGGTGGTCTCAAAAATTCCTGTTTTGTTCCGAGGTATTTTAAGAGTTGGCAAAAGGGCTTCGTTTTTTCACATATGTATGTATAAACAACAATTTTTAATGGCCCAGTGAATGGCAGGACCCCTCAGACTAACAAAGATACAATAAGCACAAGAATTCCATTTGCCTGGGAAAAAGGTGTTTGAGGTGGAGACTCAATCATCATTCAATCATCAATCACCCCTCCTTGTTTCTTCTAGCTCCAGGAACTTTCTTGGTAGTACTCCAACCAGGAGAATGAATCCCTGATTCAGACAGTCTCCTGGCAGATAAGAGAACAGAAATACTTCCTAATCTCTGATCTTTATGAATGCATAAAAAGCTGAGTCTCCCAGTGCATCTGAAAGAAGTGCACTGTCATGTCTGAGATTTTCAGTGTATGATATGTCTCACAAGGGGCTCTTCCCGGCCTTTGAAGTAGCTGGAGGAGGGGAATTTGATTGGTTTCGCATGTTCATGCCAAATCTTATGGTAAGCAGAAGTTGAAGTTATGAGATATTGCAGTATACATATTATGAACACTGTGAATAATTCTCTGAACGGTTTTTTTTGCCTGTGGCTTTTCAGCTTGGGATTGAATTTCCTTCTGTTCCCTGGCAAGTTCTGCAGACCGCCTCTTTTTCACAAGCACCTCATCTAATCTTAGTGATCTTTTTATCCTGGAGGAGCAGTGCTACGTGTTGCACTTTTGAATGACTGTGAGACTCTTCCCTGCTTGCCAAAATAGTTTAAAATTCACCTGTGGGTGAACAAGCACAAACAAATAAGATGCCTTGTCACCTTGTGTCATTTCTTTAAGAAAGTAAACTTAGAAAAAAAAAAGCCCAGAACACAGGTTAGAAAATTAAACTCCAAGAAATTTTGAAATGCATGGATGTAAATTGTTCAAATGATGCCAGAATTTGATCTGAATTGGCCCCTTTTCTTACTGTTGGACATGGTGAAAGGAAGTGCATACACATTTGTGCACTTCAGTTGGTTATCTGTGTAACAGCAAGGTACATTTGGTGTTCTCTCAGAGGCTTCAAATTATATTGTGAATATCATAGCACTCACATACCTTCTGTGAATACACAGAAATACAAGGATAGTGTCTTTCATGTGGATGAGCTAGATCAGCCTGGAGTCCAAGGTATTTGACTAATTCCTAAATACATGGACTTTTGCCAGTGCTGCTGAGGAGGATGCTGCTAGCTGAGTACCCAGCCTTGCCTGTACTCTAGTGAGTCTAGAACAAGATTTCTGCATGGAAAATTTCAGCTCCAATGTAACTTGACCAGATCTAAGCACCTGAAAACAAGGGCATAAAATGCTGGATTGGAGGGGATCTTCATCTAGTTCCAACCATCCTGCAGTTGACAGAAGCTCCTGTAACTAGACCAGGTTGCTCCAAGCTCCATTCAGACTGGCTTTGAACTCTCACAGGGGTAGGGCATCCACAGCCTCTTTGGGCAAACTCTTGCAGTGCCTCACCACCCTCACAGCAAAGAATTTTTTTTCCTAATATCTAATTTGAATCTACTGTCTTTCAGTTGGAAGCCATTCCCTCATGTTCTGTTACTACAGCTCTTGTAAAATGTCCCTTTCCATGGTTTTTGTAGGCTCCCTTCAGGTCTGGAAGGCTGCAATTAGGTCACCCCAAAGCCTTCTCTTTTCCAGGCTGAACAACCACAATTGTCTCAGCCTTTCCTTGCAGAAGAGGTGCTCTGGCCATCTAACCATCATGGTGGCTTCCTCTGGACTCAGTCCAACAGGTCAGTGTCCTTCCCTTGCTGGGGACCCCAGAGCTGGACCCAGCACTGCAGGTGGGGTGTCACCAGAGCAGAGGGACAGCATCACTTCCCTCTCCTGCTGGCCACGCTGCTTTGGATGCAGGCCAGGACACAGCTGCCTTTCTGTGCTGCAAGTGCACATGGCCAGGTTGTGTCCAGCCTCTCATCCACCTGCACCCCCAGGTTCTCCTCAGCAGGGCTGTTCTCAGTCCCTTCATCCCCAGCCTGTGTTGATAATGGGGCATTGCCCCAACTCAGTGCAGTACCTTGTACTTATTAAACCTCATGAGATGCCCATGGACCCACTTGTCCTAAAGGAGAAAGGTGGCAGACTTGCCTGTCATTGTGGCTGCATACTCTCTCATCTGGCCATGGAAGTATTGTTCCATGGATTCCCTGGAGCTGAAAACTGCAGTGAAACAGTGAGCTGGAAACAGCTTTTCTCCAAAGATATAGGTCAGTTAAAAACTGGTGTTAGTTAGCTTTAGTAAACTTCAACGATCTCTCCCTCACCCCCACCAGTATCAGACATATAATTTAGTTAGTAGTGAAAATGGGATGATGTTTTCTAAAATGTCACTTGGTGGGAAAAAATACCATGTAGTGCTTCTGTAAAGGAGTCTATTTTTAAAACAAAACTTGCACTTCATTAGTTTGAAAAGTAGTCTGTAGATAAGAGACATATTTTCAAATGCCAGCAGACCTTAATCAAGCGTAGAACTTTAGGTTGTATTTAGGGCCAGCTGATTCACTGACAGAAAAACACTGTGGTATTTTGCACACAAAGCGACTGAGAACCAAGCCTAGAGCTGAGCATCAGAGTGTTGATACACTCTGAGTGATGCTGTAGTTGAACAAGTATTTTCTTAAAGGGCAGTTGGTTTCAACATCTCTGCTTCATACTGTTCCTCAAGTTTTGGTGCTGCAGTTCTGCTTGCATCTTTTTAATCATCTGAACTAAAAATGCCTTGGTAGAGTGGGGGGGAAAAGTGGTGTTTTTTTTTTAACTGAGCCTGCTTTCCAGTGTGGTTTACTGTCTAAGCCAACAAGTAGTCAAGCCAGTCTGTCAAGAGGCAGGACAGGATAAAAAGAGGCGCTGAGTTTACTTAACCCCACAACAGAGAGACTGTCTGGAGTGAGGTGTCTGTGAGCTGGTGTGTCCCAGTCAGGTTGCAGGTGTCAAGGCAGGGCTTTCCTTCTGCTGTACTGCTTTAGATCTGCCCACACTCGTAAATTGTGGAAATACTGAAGCAGAAGAGCAGTTCAGCTTCACCTGCCATTTCAGCTTACTCTGACATCCAGATTTCCTTGACTTGACTCCTTGGATGGCAGGAAGGTCTTGATTTTAAAATTGTGCCTTGTAGCACGGCCCCTGGAGTGCTTCTGTTGCCTGTGCAAACTTCTTGCATGTTTTTGAATTGTTTGTTTTAATGAACCTCTCGGACTGTGTGCAGTGTGTATTTTTTTGTTTTAATGAGGTATTTGCCTCGCAGCTCAGGAGTTGTGTCTGTAGCTGTTACCTGCTCAAGCTGTGGGAATCTGTTGGGTTTCATGGGGATTTTGCTCTAGAGACCATGCAGAAGCCAGGGTTTTGGCCACTCTGCTTTTTTCTTGCCCAGCCTGCAGCTGTGATCCCAGTTTGCTGGCTGACCATGAGCAGTGGATAGCCAGGAGGCACAAAATCCTGAAATCCCTCTGCTGCATGGTGGGAGATGTGCCAGTAGACAGAATTACACTCACTTGCTTCATACTGCCCAGGCAAATGCTCTTTTAAAGAAACATATTTTAAGCAAAGCTAGAAAGTAAAATGGCTTTCTAGAAACCGGAATGCAGAGCACTGATCCAACTGCAGGAGACTTATGTATTTGGGGAAGGGGGAGGCTTGCCATTGCCATCACATTTGTGTGCTGTCACCCAAATGCCAGCCAGCTTTTCTCCAGCCTCATCTGACCATAGGGCAGGAGCCAGACTTGTCTGTCCACTCCTCAGAGCGGGACTGCAAATGCATTCCATGAATAAGTTGTTCAGGAGTGCTCCCTCTCTATTTAATAAAACAAAACACTGATCCCATGTACTGTGAAATAGCTCAAATGGAGGTAGCACAAAACACTGCAGTAAAGAAGCAGCACTTTTTTGGAGTGCTTCAGTATTAGTGATGGCTGTGAGAATAACCAGAATGAGCTCTAGTCATGAATTCAGTGTCTTGTGTAATCACCTCAGAGTACCACTCAAGTCCAATCACAGCACTCTGCAAGTGTCACGGAGAACTTGGACTTTTAAGATTTCTTCATCCCTATTGTTAAACTAAAACATGGAAACCATTCAGTAAGGGTTTGAAAACCCAGTTTCATGGGTTTTCAAACAAAAAAACAGATACTAGCTGACCTTCTAACCCTGGCATATTTATAAATATATGTGGTCACATGATGCAGATAAAACAACATGTATGACTGTAGTTGAATATTAAGATGGTGACTGCTCTCATATTCTGTGCAGCAGTAAAATACTAGAAATATAGATGATTCCTAGAATCTGCCTAAAAACTGTCTTGATGTAGTTGGTATGAACTAGACAGAACTACTGACTGAGTTGAGTAAGATTTTTGCTGTTGCAGAAACTGTTCTCTGGCTTGAGCCACCTCAAGAACCATACTGAAACAGGCTGGTTTTACCTGGGGGAGTTGCTGTTGGTTTGTTCTGGTTCTCTTAATAGCAGTAGAGTTGAAGAGGTGACATTTGTGCCTCTTCACTTTGCTGCTTTTGTTACTCAGCCTTTATTAGAGACTGTAGAGACATATATTTTTTTTTCCCTGGACAATTCTTGAGCAGATATTCTGGGTTATGCCAATAATTTTTAATTCTCTCCCATTTGTTTTTACTTCTTGCAGTTCTTGTGTGGTTGGTGAAAATAAGCCTACGCTGCAGGAATGCAAGAGGAGCAACAGCCTGAGGTAGGGCTTGGAGATGAAGTTTGTATCTCAGTACGATCACAGGGAAGGTCAGGAGTGAATCAGCCAGGTTCTTCCACTTATTTTTGAGCAAGTTTAGCAAAGTCTTAGGACTGAGAATGCAGGTGTGAGACCCCTTTTAAAATGGGAATGGAGAGCTGAATGCTATTTTTCTTGATACATTTAGGTTCTTTTCAGGTTCTCTTTCCCTCCAGTTGCAAAAGCTAAAATGGGTCTTTTCTATTATTCTACTTGCAAGTGAGGAATTGTATAAAATCACTGAACCTATGAGATTAAACCTTTAGGAGGAAAAAGGGTTTGTGAGTAAATTACAGAAATTGATTATATACAAATAATCTCATTGTACATGGCTGAAGTTCCTTGCCACATTAAACTGAGATTCTTTTTCTATCCTTTCTGTTCCTTTCCTTCTTTCAAATCCATGTATCTCAAAACCTTTTTCTGGAATAATAGGTGAAACTCAGGAAATTTTTATTTGATGAAGTATAAGAATGTCAGCTTTTTTGTTCTGTTAATAAAAAAAAGGACCACAGATTCCTAACGTGGTGGCTTAGTGCTGTGCTCATTGCAGTTGTGATGACAAAGCCAGCACAAGTGATAGGATTAATTCCATATGTTACAGATGGATAAATTTTTCCAAAATATTGTTGTGACTAGACTTAACGTATGCAAGCAGTAGTCAAGCCATATGTTGTGATCAAAGGCTGAGCTGGTGTTAAATTAGATTTGTGAATGTAATTGCAATTTGCAGTGTAATTGCAGTTTGCAGTTGTCAATGAACAGACTTCTGCTTTGTAGTGAAAGGATGATGTGTTGCTGTGACTGTTTTAAACTTTGCATTATAAAGCTGTTGTACGTTTTGGGTTTAGTCCATGAAATGTATCATAAATTTTTCCTTGCCTTCAGTGGGGCCACGGTAAGACTCAGGATTTATTTTCTCACAATTCCTGTTTGACATTATGGAATGCAAGAAGAAAATAATTACTCTTATAGAAAGCTCTTAACATTTGGGTGTGCTTTGTACAGCCTTGCTTTAAACCTTACCAGGTTAAGTGCAAAGTTCATAAACCAGTCATTTTAGCTAAAAAGCTGATATGCATCAGGAGAGGTTGGCTGCCTGCTTGCTGACTCATTAATATTGTCTTTTCTTTGGAAAGTACTTAAATGGTGATGGATTCTCATCCTGTCTCTAATTCTTTGACTTAGTGTTGTTCAGAAATTCCAAATTCTTCCAATAATCATCCTCATTAAACTTTGAATTAACGTAGTTGCCTAAAGGTAGTTTATAATTTAGCTTTCCCTTACTTCTGAGTCTTTTCTGCACTAACTGTGCCTCTCTTGCTTGAATGACATTGGCTGAATAACTGGAATTATTTAAATTCTATGCATGGGTTATAAAACTTGCTATTTAACTAAAAATCAGAAAGGTTTTTGTTAGCCAAAGACCTGTATCACATACTTCTAGGGATAATATTGAAGAGTCAGTCTTTGTCAATCTTTTCAATTGCCTTCTGTTCCTTTAGAGAGCAAAGCTCTGCAGGTGCCTTGTATCTTTGATTTCTGATAGGTATAAAGTCAACATGTGCATGAATTTTGTGAGATTTGATGTGCATATTGTGTAATTGCCTTATTCCAATAAATACTTGGCCTGACTCTTCTAGAATGGACGTGTTTAGTCTTGTGAGTACTGATTAACTTTGTCAGACTCCTGACAGAATAATGCTGACTGGTAGTTGAGTCAAATGATATAACCAGTGCACATTTTAGTTTTCAACACAAAGTGCTGTAGTAGCTGTAGTACTGTAGTAATGTTAGAGATAAATTTGTTCTTTTTATCCAGAATCCCATTTATTTTAAAACTCTGTGTCAGGTATAAATTTTATCTCTTAAAATAGGCATGAAGTAGTCCATTTTTAAGATGTTCTATCGCATACTCAGGCAGCTAGGAAAAAATAGTTGTAAAATCACAGATATTTTGAACTGTGACACTGCTTAAATTATTTACTTGAATATTATTGGTAGGTTTAAATTGAGTAAACTCACAAAGGAAAAGATTTATTGAAACATTTCATTATAATTCCCAGCCTCCTTTTGAATTTGTTTCATACAGGCTGCTGCAGATCCAATGTCGTCCTCTGATGCACCAGGAGATGGCCCAAAGGGAGCACCAAGTATATCACAAAATATCTGTATGTTTCTGGTTGGGCTGGGGAGGGTGGTCTTACTGGAAGGGGTATTCAACTAAATGTCTTTGCCTTTTTCTTACCTAAAAAGGACAGGGCTGTTGGCAAAAAAGGAGATGCTAATGAAGACATAGCTGATTTAATCTGTTCTTGATTTGTTTCAAGGCCCAGCTGTGTAAATCAAATTGAGAAAGAGCAATGACATGTAGATTGTCAGTTTGCTGATCCCATACTTTCAAAAGTAAATATTTTTAGATTTAATAGGTACACTCAGCTATTGTTTTAAGCTTAGCTTTCTAAGCCAGTGATGCATGAGTATATGTTTGCTTTGACAGTCTGGCATCTAGTGATACAATGGTGATGAGTTGTCCCAAGTGGAAAGCTTTGCCCATGCTAGCATGATAATGTTTTGGCAAGACTGCAGGATGTGGCAAGTATTCCAACCAAAACTGTCTTGTGAAGCCCAGGAAGAGTATCTTTTCTTACCTGTTATTGGCAGGCTCAGATAATGACAGGCATTTCTCAAGAGGAAAAAAACAAAGGCTTCTTAGGATTTGCTTTATCTGTATTGATACACTGTTATTATATTAGTGTATCTGGTGCTGATTCGTAACAATAGGAGCATTCAGATTGTGCTTTCTGGCAAATAATAGGCTTTGAGCCACCTTAGGGAAAATTGGTGTGTAACAATAACACTGCTGAATAATTCCTAGGGATGTCAGCTTTCATGGGAGCAAACACAGCCTTGACTAAAGCTATGCAGACCTAAAGAAGCCGATTAAATTTTATGTGGCTTTTTTCCCAGGTATAGAAGTTGGTTCAATAAAAAACATAGCTGCTCCTGAGGATGTTTTCCTTAATTGTGTCCTTAAATTATAACATCTGGTGCTATACCACTATCACATTTTTTCTTCATGTGTAACATTATTCAATCCAGTACTAAGTATATGTGTGAGGTGAAAGCTTGAAAAGTAAATAGAAATTACACCCTCTAAGGGTTACCAAATGTGTAGAAACCACTTTCAGATGGGGGAATCTGAATCATAAATGGCTTTAGGCTAGGAAAGTATTTGAGGCAGGTATTACACACACTTCCCCATGTATTATGTTCTCCATTAGGCATCCACTTTTGACCATAGTGGGAGGTGGGATATTTGCTTAGGTGGGTTTTTGTTCATCTGCTATGGCTGCTTTTATAATTATGTGACTGAGAGGGCTACAAATGCAACAGCCTTACCTCTACTTCCTTTTTCAGTCATGCTTTTCTTACCTTCTCCTCAGCATCACCATCTGTTTTGGCAGCAACATTTTCATAGCTCAGACAGTACTGATTGCATGTTCTTGGGTATTGACCATGAAGAAGCAGGTTGCTCAAATGCTAAGGATGTTGAAAGGTTGCTTTTGGTTTTTGGGTTTGGGTTTTCTCTTTGGTTGGTTTTCTCCTAATTTGGTGGGATTTTTGTTTGGTTGGTTTTGGTTTGGGGTTGTTTTTTTGTTTTGTTTTTTTTTTACATAAAGTCTTACAAGAGTAGTATTTGTGGGACACAGCTGGGGCCAGAGCCACACAGCTAAAGCAGATTCAGAAAATGAATGTGTGGTAGGAGGCTGTAATTTATCTGCATCTTTGACATCCTGCCTACAAACTGTTCACTAATCTTTTTTTTTTTTTTTTTTTTTTTTTTATGTACTCAGAAACAACAATTTCCAGGGCTGAGCATATCTTTCCGGGCAGGCTACAGATGGTGCAGCAGCTTGCCAGAGAAAGAGAGTTGGTTGGAAACAAAACTCTGCTTTCCTGCTTGATATTTTTTTCCCTAAGATGCATTACAGCTTTAAGATGACTCATTCAAAACAACTTTAATTTCTCATTGATAAAGAGTTAAAGCTTCTGTGTCTCAGTCAATGAGGCTGCCTGGCAATGAGCATCTGTGACAAAGCTGATAGATCCTCCTGTTTTCCCTACAGGAAGCTTGACATAGAGAAGCTAAATTCACTTTGTACCATTTTGATCTTAAATAGTTGTTGAATCTAGGGAAGACTGAATGAATTCCTGACCTAAATATCTCTTGAGGTTTAATTTTCCTTTGTGTACTGATCTCTGGTGTGTTAATCCCAGAAAAGGCTAAGGTTGGTACTGTAGGTATCCTATATGTGCCAATATGTGGAGGTGACTTTGCCAATCATATTCACACCAGTGTCCATGTATTGCTATGGTTTATATAGATAAGAATCCCAAAATTGAACACTTTGGGTTTAGAATTTAAAAAATGCTTTTTTTTTTTCTTTTTCTCTAATTTAGTGTATACCTTTTCTAAGTATTCTTTGCTTCTCTGTCCACCTCACCTGCCACACAGCTTCTCTCTTTCCCTTACTGAACTGCGTGGACAACCTGTCCCAGTGTCCACAGGGTAGGAAACCTGGACTGAGACCCATGCTTGGAGGCAGCCTCTCCAGTGATGGCACTCTCAATGATGTAGCTTCAGAATTGAATGTAAGATTACAGTGGTAAATCAATGGCCTTTTAGCTCTGCTCTGCTGTTTAGTGGCGACATTTTTATTTTCTGTCTCTACTTAACTGCACTTTATATCATGTGTGCTTTTCTTTTCTGTTTTTCTTTACATTTATAGCTGATGCAGATGCATTTAAAATCCTGCTGGAGATGAAGCTGAAGAAGAGGCAGAAAAGGCCTGCTTTACCAAACACTGTGACTGAGCTTAATACTGAGGATGGTTCTAAAGTGTATGTGGTTGGAACAGCCCACTTCAGTGACAGCAGCAAAAAGGATGTAGTAAAGGTAAATACTCAGTGTGAGCCCTTCAGCAGCATCTTTATAATGTTTCAGTTTAGCACTAAGTAGAATGAAGTCCAGCTCTCTGACTTGGTTCTGTGCTGTAACCTTCAGGCTCTGGTTTTTGTAATTGGCTGTTGGAGGGCTAACAGCACTATGGGATGAGAAGCAGACATTTACGGTAATAATTTTTCATGCAATACATTGGTCTCCCAGCTCAAATATTTTTATTTGCCCTTCAGTAAAAAAGGCAAATACAGCATCAGCGTTGAAAGTAGAAATCTCACTAGTGAAGCTTACAGTGCCTGGGTAGTATTTGGCTATAAAACCATCCTGCACAACAATTGGATTCCATTCTCAAGCTGCAAATAGATCTGAAGCCCTAGTGCAAGTAGGAACTATTTCATATGGTACCTCCTGCAAACTCTGCAGTTTAGACTGCCTTTATTCAGGAGGTAGAGGGGGAGAAATCTTGTAAGAAGCAGGGTTGACAGTTCTGGCACAAAGTGTATTCTGTCTCAGATGGAAAATACCACAGAGAACAGTCAAATTAATTTTGTGAATGTGAAAAGTTTTACCTGAAGTGTTTCTTCCCTGCTCCCCTCCCCAGCACAGTATGTTCACCATTATCCTGTCCCAAAGCATCCAGTAACTAAGACATTTTGCTGTCACCTTCCTTAATATTTTTGTCAATGCATAGTTATTTGGAGAACTCTTATTTACTATTCTACTTTTTTTTAAATTTAAAATTGTTATTGGAATGTGATTTTAAGGTCCTGTCTCTCTTTAAAATGTTGATATTGGCTGCATTCTGTTTATTCCTTTCTAAAGCAGTATAAATAAACTCATCTTTTTCAGACAATACAAGAAGTGCAGCCTGATGTAGTTGTGGTGGAACTGTGCCAGTACAGAGTTTCTATGTTAAAAATGGATGAAAAGACATTACTGAAAGAAGCCAAAGAAATAAATCTGGAAAAACTTCAACAAGCTATAAAACAGGTATGATTCCTACAGTGAGAATTAAAGGTTTGTGTTGAGAACAATTTGTCAGATTGCAATCAAAACCAGTGTTCCCACCAGCTGGGAACCTAACACTGTTGATGTAGGTGAGAGTACTATTAAAGTGGCAAATCTAGGTTTGGGCGTTATTTCTGTTTTCAGATGGAGCATTGAGGGCTTTCTTTTCACAAGGGGATTGGCTGGGGAAATTGTTGACCTTGACAGGAGTCCTCCTGCATTTAACAGCTGCTCCATTTTCAGGATGCAGGTCTAACTTTGCAATTGCAATGCTCTGCTAATATATTTAAATGGGATTATTATTCCTGCAATCTGCATCTGTATCACAACTATTAAAGAGCACTTACTTTTGGTATTTTCTGTTTAGCTGCATTCCTTCTTCAACCTAGTGTATTGCTCTTTAATTCCTACCTATCCACTTGTTTTTGGAGTAATTTGTAATTGACAGTAGGCCCTAGATGAAAAATTTGGGCTAAAAAGTGTGGGATTCTCTTCACATTTTAACTACTCTGGCAGTTTGATGTGGACATGTCTGGATGTTTGTGCAAAAAAAAATCCCATACTTTTTCAGTTCCACTTAGCTAGCTTGTATTTGAGTGATTTTAAGCTAGGCACAGTGCTACAACACAAAGTTGACTTAAAAATGTCAGGACACTTCATTAGAATGGCAGTGCTTGATCAGTAGTAAAGAGTTTGCATGTCCAGTTGGATGAAGAAGTTTGTAGATTGTTATTTTGATTGTGTGGTAACTGTATATTGCAATTGCTTTATTGATGTAATTGGGGGATTTCCAGGAGTCTACCCTCCCCTCACAGGAGAATAATCTGCATGCATGCAGAAGCCCTTCCAGTGTCTCAGGGCTATGCAGTGTGTGTGCTCACACAGGGTCTCAGAGCTGGCTTTCTGACTCATGAGGGAGGCAATAATGTGTCTTTCCTGTTTTCTTTGTTTATGCCCTATCAAAGGAAAAGACACTGCAAAACACTTGCATGTTGCATGAATTGTTGCATCTGTTTATCGTAGGTAAGGTGGATTATTCTGATGCATGTAGCCAAAATGCATGTGGCTGGGCAACATGCATAGCTGGGCGACTTCTGACCTTGTGATCAGGCACAGAAACTTTTTTTCTTTATATCAAAGCTAAATGCAACAGTTTATGTTGTGTAAAGAGGAAAAGGACAATGAAAACAAAATAGCAGACTTTTTTTTCTCTGTGATGTAAAGTCAGGTTGGCAACTTTGCAGTTACCACTTCCTACCAGGGCGTGAAGTGATCTTGCATGCAGACAGTAGAAAACAGACTCTGTTGGCTCCAAAGCCACAGAGTACTGCAAAGATCCTTCCTGTTCTTATAGCTCAGTATTATTCTCCTTCCCTTTATTTGCAGGAATAATGCAAATAATAAAATTTGAACACTGGACCTTTTAAAGAATGTATTTCTCTATCTATGGTCTCAACCAAAAAATTCCCCAACCTTTTCCCTTTGAATCACTAACAGTATAGATTATATAGGGAAAACCAGGAAGAACAGTCCAACTGTCTCATGCCAAATTATAGTGTCTTTGTTTTTCTCTGATAAGCATCAGGCCAGTTGGTAAGTTGCTCAGTTATGCCTTAGTTGCCTCCTCTTATTGAAATGAGACAGGCCCAAAAGCTAAACTAAAAGTCAAAGCTGCTTTCAACTTTTATCCTTAAGTTCGGAAATGAGGGGAAAAACCCAAATGGTGTCTTTTTATAACCACATTAAATATTAAGTGCAAAAATTGGATTCATTGCTCTTAATTGAAGCTGGAAGTTGAGCACAATGTTAACATGAAACATACATATTTGCAATGGATCATTGGCATCCACAGCTTATCAAGCAACTGCTGCAGGTTAAAACCAGACTTCCTTTAGCTCCTCCTTGAATTTCAAAACCCTTACAGTCGTTTGCAGAGAAGTACTGTTTGCTTTCCATTAAGCAAAGCAACATGGTGCAGACTGGTATCTGGCTCAAATGTGGATAACCTGGAGATGTGCAGTACCAGTTGGCTCAAACCAATCTGATAAGACAGGTTTTTCTCTTACCTTCTCCCTGGCTTCCTGCACTATCCCTTCTGTGTCCATACCACAGAACTGTTCAACCATTAAGTTATTCAGACACTTGCTTCAAGCACACAGAGTAAATACAGACTGAAATAAATCTGACTATCCTTCTTTATTTTCTTAACCTGTACACAATCAAAATGTACAAAAACTTGTACATTTTTGTTGCAAGGCAGAATACTTTGGCCACACAGTGAGGTAAACTGATAAAAACTGACATATGGGCTGTATTGATCAGTGCAATTGGCCCCAAAATGTAGCTTCAGTGCTGTTTCTTCATTTTTTTTTAACATGTTTTTCTCCCTCTTCTGCCAGAACGGAGTCATGTCTGGATTGATGCAAATGCTGCTTCTGAAGGTTTCTGCTCACATCACAGAGCAGTTGGGAATGGCCCCAGGAGGAGAATTCAGGGAGGCTTTCAAAGAGGTGAGAACTTGAGATGGCTTTTTTGAGGTCAGATTAGTGGCCTTTTGCTTCCAGAGCTGAACTCAATAAAACCATTTTGCTATTGCCTAGAAAAGAGCACTCTGGCCATACCTCTGCTGAAGCCAATGAAGTAGTAAAAATAATTTTTGACTTCAAACTGTACTTTAAGGTACAAAGATTTGTAGACATAAGTGGTAGGAAAGCAATTCAAATAAGGCTTTTTCCTGATGATATTTCTGAAGACATTTGTTTTCATTAATGATTTACTTTCTTTTATATAATTATTTTTGAATTCTCAGTATTGATCTTGGTCCCATTGTTTGATGTGTCAGGCTTTCAGGCTGTGAAAAGCAGCTCTAAAGGATTAATGACATCTGAAATGTTCCATTCATCTACAAAGATTGGAGAAGTCAAATATCTGACTGATCTGTTGGTCCTGTATGGTCTTTTAATGTCACCTTTTGTACTAGTGCCAGCAATGATACTGGAATTAAATAGTAGCTGTGTTTTACACTACTCTTATTTTTTTGTCTGGGAATACTGAGACACTGTTTTCTGTATGTGCATCCATCTTGCAGAATGTATCATGCTATTTTAATGTAAATTATGCACTAGTAAGGAAATCTGAGAGACATTGCTGATAAATAATCTGGAATCATTTGTTATATTTACCCTTAATAAAAAGAAAACTTCTTCAAGGTTTATTTTCTTGAGCATTCTAGACCAGAATGAAACATTTAAGTGAAACTTTTAAGTGTTTCCTATTTTAAGCAGGAAAGAAAAAGAATTAGCTCTGTCCTATTCTAAAGTGATTGCTGGAAATTTTTAAACAACTATGCATAGAAAAGAATTTTCTAGAAATTCCATACTGTGCTAAAATGTGTCAGGGTGAGCTTACAGCCAAGTCTCCCATTATCATGTGATATCTGGCATCAGTTATTGTCTCATAAGCTCTTTCTTTAATATCTTTTACCATGAACAAATGTAAGGTTGATGATCCTGACAAATCCTAGGGGAAAGCAAAATGATGACACCAATGATGGTTCACCTCAGACTTTATTCAGGCCCAGATAGATATTGAGCCACACTGTCATCTTATATAGTAAATATTCAGAAGCTTTGTGCTTCAGTACAAGTAACCTCAAGGGTGTGGCATTACAACTTAATGGAATACCAACTGCATTGTGTAGTGGATTTATTCCTTTATGAAGTAATGTAGTAGTATTTTGTAAATTTTACTTATTGCAAAGCCAAAATAGTTTTTTTATCTTGAAGTATGAAATATCTTACTCTTTAAGATACCTTGTATAACACAGTAAATCCTCACTGTTCATTGATAAGAATGTTCTGTGCTGCAGTATGAAATGCTGACTGGTTATTTGTATCTTCCCTTTCAGGCCAGTAAAGTACCTTTCTGTAAATTCCACCTTGGTGACCGGCCCATCCCTGTTACATTTAAGAGAGCAATTGCTGCACTTTCCTTCTGGCAAAAAGTCAAGCTTGCCTGGGGCCTTTGCTTCTTATCTGACCCCATCAGGTATGAATAAGCACCCCATATGTTTTATGTTTGGGGTGGATTATTCAATTCTTCTGTTTGACTTTAGTATGAGGGTACCCAGCCTGATGCAATGAAATTTGAAGTTAGTGAGAGGGATGAATATACAAACTATCCTGCAATTATATGTATTTTTGAAGTGAGAGCTGTCTTTCTGATCTTGTCAGGTCTTCCTTTGTCTTTCAATGCATTACTTCCAGGTGAAGTGTAAGAGTTGATGCTGAAGAATTTCTAGTATACTTTAAAAATTTATTTAAATTATTATTTTATTATGCAAAAAATGAAATCTTTCTCACTACTGTGTGGGGATATTGTAAATAAGAGAATAAAGGCCTCAGTGCAATAATTTGTATATTTTTAAGAGTTCCACATCCCGTCATTAACATGAGATTGGATGGAAAATGAAGTAATAATTCAACATCAAAATTGTCAGTCTGTTGATGTTTCTGGGTCTGTTGAAAGCTAGCATTTCTCCTTTAGCTTGCCCTGCTGACATTTGTAGTGTCCTTTTCATCTTGGGAACTAAAGGAAGCCTGTTTGACGTCATTCTTTGATAGACAGTGATGCTAAACCAGATAATGTCATTGCCACAAGCTATGACCCACAGCTAGGGGTGCTAACAGAAGGGTTTATAGCATCTATGAAAAGAATAAAAGCTCATTACATTTACTCCTGCAGTTCCTTTTTTGCATTTCCTGCCTGTTTGCTATTTTTCTGTTCTGCAAATTGGTTTATAACTTTCATAGCCCTGTGATTGACACTGGGAACCTGCAGATGTTTCTCCATGCCCTCAGACTGTGCATTACAGTGTGCCTTTTTCATTCCTTAAGTAGAGTATCTGTGTGTTTAGTGATCAGATCTGTTTCCTCAGAAGAGCTGTGTGTAGGCTCTTCTAAGCTTATTGATGCACACTGAAAATGGGGCACCACGGTAACTCCGGCCTTTGATGCCCTAGTGGTTTTGCTGACTTGAGTTGCCAGCTTTTAAAGTGGGAAAGGAGAAAATCCAGTTGAACTGGCTAAAGGCAAGTGACTTCTTTTCTTTCCCTTCACTGCAGAGGTATTGTTAGGTATCAAGTTCTACAGGTTTATGGAGATTATTTTCCTTCTGGAGAGGAAAACTGGGGGAAGAGAACTGCAGACTGTGTTTAGTTGTAACACCCAATTGTTTTGATTCATTAGTTTCTCTATGTTGACCTTTAAAAGCATAATAGGTACTGAGAAAACTTACCTTTCTTTCAGTAAAGATGATGTGGAGAAATGCAAACAGAAGGATTTACTGGAACAGATGATGGCAGAAATGATTGGAGAATTCCCTGATCTTCATCGAACGATTGTCTCTGAACGAGATATTTACTTGACCTACATGCTGAAGCAAGCAGCAAAGCAGATAGAACTACCTCGAGCTTCAGAAAGTAATTGTTTTAAAGCAGAGATTATAACCAGCAAGGTGTTCTTTGTGTACTGGTACAAAGTTCAGTTCTCAGGAAATCTGGGATGTTCAGTTCGTGAATGCCACATGTCACATAAGATACAATGCTTAAAAAAATTAAAAAGGGCTTCTGTTGAAACCACCTAGAGCAGTAGACTCTAAATTATGTTTCCTTTCTCACTGTGCTGTTTAAAAGTGGTAAGTACTAATTAGCCAGACAACCATTTCAAAAGGCAGGGATCTGGTATGACAGCACAGTATGGGACTGTCTTCTATTTTGCTTGTCCCGTTTTCTCACCAAATTCATTGTTGTCACTGGCTGCTGAGGGTCTCGTTTCTTGATAAGTTAATTCTCTAATTTCAGTACTCTTCATAGGTTTTTTTTTATAATTGTAAATTGGGCTGCTAGGAACTTTGATGATCTGGCAGTAATAATCATATGTGACTGCTATTTCAGCAAGGTATAGGCATATAGAAAAATAGTACTTGACTAATCTTTGGAAGTATTCTGCTGCCATATGTAATTGGCATGCCCTTCCTATAGATAAGCATACTGAAGTGTGTTACCTCTTACTTAATATCTTAAGAAGATAGTGTTTGTTCTGTACTTTAGTGCAGAACTGTTATTGTTGCAGTTCTGCTTTAGAGCAACTCTATAATAGACTGAGAAAAAGAAAACTTAGAAAAACTAATTTGGTAAATATGTATAATAGTTCTAGTGTTTTCAATACAGATTTTTTCCATTTTGAGGCTGGCTGCTCTTCACATTTACTTTTTTCCTGGAAAAATCAAGGGTGAATATTTAAAGCAAAACAGTAGAACTTGTATTTTATATTTATATATTATGTAGAATTTTCCTCATAGGAAAGCAGCCTGATCATTATTCCTTAGAAAGTTTTTTGTGAGTTATTTTATTGTGGCACAGTGCTATATTTCTCATTGGGGAAAACTTCCAGAAACCGCATTTTGGGTGTTGTGAAATATGGATGGTAGATGGGAGGTGAGGGTGAGAGCTGGCACATGTTGCTTTGGTCTGATGGTTGCTGGCTAACTGCTGGATGTCTCTGGCCTGGGTTTGCAGTTGCTGAGGCCAGGTCTCTGACAGAGAGCTTCAGAGGAACAGGTGTGGTCTCAAGCATTGTTCTCTGATTGTGAGCCCAAATCTTGTTACACTTTGTGTGCCAAGTGCCGCTGTCCAAAATGGTGGAGAAAGTTCTCTGTTCAGGAGACGGCAAAGACCAGGGATGTCCCTCTTGAGCAGCACAGAAACATGACCTACACAGAGAAGGAAAGAAGTTAATTTAGCTTGCATCTGCTGAGCCTGTCACCCTGAGGCTGAAGTATGAGCACTGGCTAGATCTATTTATTAATGAAATGGTTCCTGAAAATCCAGAAACCATGCTGGCTTTTTCAGAGTTTCAATGAAAGAGGCAGTTGGTGAGATCAGTATGCAACAACCGGGTTTCAATATGTGGTAGTAAATGCCCCTATATCTTGGAAAAATCAATTTTGTAGTCTCACACATTGGCTACTTCTTTATAGCTTGAAATATAGTTCTTTTACAGATATGTTCCTTTCTCTTCATCTTTCTTTTCTCAGATGAACCTAGAAAATACATCCCAGCTGTTGTAGTTGGTGTTGTTGGCATGGGTCATGTACCTGGGATTGAAAAGAACTGGAATTCTGACTTAAAGATCCAGGAAATAATGAGGTAACAGTTGTGCTTTCCTACATGTTGATATAACAGCTTCTTTTGCTAAAAATCAGAAGTTTCTTTGTAGTTTTTTTGGTTGATTGTCACAGCTTGAAGGAGCATCTCTGCTGTCCTCCCGGCCTGTCAGCTTGCTGACTTGCTATGCAGTGCTTGCAGATTGTGCTGACAGCAAAGAAAAAATCACAGGAAAAAAAAAAAGTTGAATATGGAGGGAAGTAGAGATGAGAATATGCCCTTGCCTGGACAGAAAATTAATTTAAGTCTTCTAAAATGAAATTCAAATGAGGGCTGTTAAAGATGATGAAAACAGAACAAGGGTTTTAGTCTAACTTAGGTAAATGTAAATCACTGGATTTAAAGCTTTTGTTTTGTCAGGACACTGCTGGTTCTGGCAAGCTTAGTGTTGCAGTTGCTTGTACCCTATTTTAAGTGTTTGTCTAAGTAATGACTTTTTTTAATGTGTATACCTAACTAATTATGAGCTGGTTCAAGCCACGTACCTTGTGAACTCTTGCTTCAAAGTACCTATTAAAATAGACATATATGCTTTGGAAAAGACAGAATTGAAGAACCAAAGCATTCAGACTATGTGTATCCCATAAAGCCACAAAGGTCAGGACTTCAGAAATACAGGAGAGATTATAATACAACCTAGTAGTATTTGTCTGTGGGGCTTTAGGATTATGGAGTCTTTCAGAAATTCACACTTTCCTTATCACATCTGTTTATTGTATTAATGTAACCACCTCACCCATCTCTTCAGAGGCTATGAAAACCAGAAAAGACTGACATCCACATAAATGTTATATTTAGACATTTAAAATATGATTTAGAGAGACTTTTGTTTCTGGATTCAAGAATGCAAAGTATAGAAGCTCTGCCTAGCCATTTATAACTCTCTTTCCAGGCTCAGCCTCCCCTGGAGTCACAGACTAGATGTCCATTTTCCTCTGCACCCTCACAAATAACCTGTGTAGTTGTGTGCTGGCTGTTGGTTGCATCATTGACAGCACAGAACTGAACAGCCCAAAGACCAAGTGCATGTCTTCAAGCCTGCACAGAAAGTCTTTCTCATGAAAGTTTAGGCTCTGACTAGATTGTCTTTACCATGTCAGTGCCATAACTGAGCAGAAGAGTTACTAGTTTCTTACACAAGGCATTAATATTGCATTAACTTGATTTTCTGAAATAATTTGAAGCAAATGACATTCATAAGAGTGATATATTTGCAAATTATTTTTCTTTCAACTTTTTTGCCCTTCCTGCTGTTACACTGCAGTTGCAGAGCAGAGTTAGGGCTTTCTTTTGTGTGTTTAGTGTTCATCACTCCTCTAAGATGGCAAGTTTTTAAGATTTTCTCAGATATTTAGTTAAGTTTTAGAAGTTGGAACATGAACTTGAAGATTTGCTGGATAAAAGCATACATATATTTCTAATTTTTAAGTTCATGCATTGAACCTGACTCCAAGCCTGACTCCAGACGTTACTGTCTGCCACAGAATATTTTGAGTAGGAAGGGATGTACAAGGATCATTGAGTCCAGCTCCTAAGTGAATGGCCCATAGGGACTGAATCCATGACCTGGGCATTATTAGCACTGTGCTCTGATCAGCTGTTATTAATTGGTTTTTTAAAATTGTGGTGAGGTATTAGAATTGAGAAAGAGTAGGCAGAGAAAGGTATAAGAACATATAAAGAGATGCCTTTACACCATTCTTGGATCAATACATACACTTTTTTAAAACTCTCCTCTGTGTTGCTGTAATTTGAGCACATGGATCTAAACTCAGTCTAGTTGTATCCTTATCTCAGCACATTTAACCTGATTTGAGAGCATCCAGTGTTTTTGCACTATTGTAGTTGATTACTTCTGAATACATTAGAAACTTTTTCTGGATATAAATAAATGATAACTTGAGGCTCCTCTGAAAGTTAATGGAAACCTCTGAGTTGCCTGTGAGAGGATTATGAGTTGCTGTGAGTGCAGAGCCTGTTAGTGAGAATACAGGGCTGCACTTGCATGTGGCTGTGCTCTCAAAGTTAACTTTATTGGGAAGGTAATATTAACTGTTTGCTTCATGTACCCACAGTGAGACTGACTGCTTGAATGTTGGGGGGCAGACCTGGTGTGCCTGTTGTCTTCTGCCCTCATGGTTTGGGTGGCCAGTGCAGAGGCTTCCAAGCGGCCCTGTGAAAATCTCAATATTTTCTTTTAGGATTCTTCAGAAAGTTTGAATATTCACTTAATTATTTTAGCAGGGTGATGGACAAGTAAAGGTTCCTAGCCATTAAGAGTGGCATAAGTAGAAAGGGCTTCGTTAGTGTTTATTAATTTTTATTGTTATTTAATTGTATGTAGCCCTTGAACATGAAAGAATACTTTGTTCATTCATGATGCATCTGTTACGTGAAAATTTCCTGCACTGGGAAGGAAGGGGAGAAAACAATCCCTTTTCTTTCTTTTAATTGGTAAATGCCTACTGTTTCCAGCTATGCAAATATTAATATTGTTTTCTGTTTTTTTTTTTCAGTGTGCCTCCTCCATCAGCTTCAAGTAAGATTTTCAAATTTGTTTTAAAAGCAACAGTGTTTGGACTGCTGGGATACAGCTGCTACCGAATAGGTCACAGGACAGTTCAGTTTGTTCTCTCAATGCCAGCAACACAGAGCTATCTTCAGAGGCTGACTGAGATGCCTCAGCAGTGAACAAGCAGTAGAGGCTCTCTGTGAAGAAGGTGGCTGAAGAAAGGGCGATGGAGGCAATGCATGAAGTGGACTGAAGGATGAGGATTCTAGTCAGACCTGATTGATGCTGAGCAACACTCAATCACTATATAATAAAAGATTTGGTACTGAAGTTACACCAGCTATGATCTAATTAATAGTTTTGATTCTTGATAGGTGTGTTGCATGAAACCAGATGATTCCAGATTGAGGTAAAAGAAATGTGTATCCAAATATATATATATATATTATATATGCATACTATATACATGTACACTATATATATGCATTGTATATAATATATATATATAAAACTGATGATGTAGTACAGGCAGCTTAAAGGGTGTGTGTTCATGGCTCCTTTTCCAGAGGAAAGAACAACACAAAGTATCCTAATCAGCTGCATCTCCTCTGAAGTTCAGGGACACGTGAGTGATTCTTTGCTTTTTTTCTTAGGTATAATAATACCAAGTGTTTGTTTCTGGTGCCAGACACTTTTACACATAATTTAAAGGACATCTTCTCAATGTGTGTTTTATACCTAAAACATTTAGGCTTTTTTTAAACTTAAGAGCTTTCCAGAAATTTCAGAATTGTACAGGCTGTCATACGTACACGGCTCAAATTTTTTACAAGCCTTACTGAAGAACAGGAATGTTGCCTTTAGATTGCATCCCTTGTTACCACCACCAGTTGAATTGTCTTTCTCCTGCATAGAGAAGGTGTAGCCACCCCATCAGAATGCAGTGTGGTTTGTGTCAGATGTTTACAGGACACTCTGTTCCTTTAGATTAGCTTATTTAAACTATTATTTAGCCAAATCCTGCTGGTTCCAGTATTGTAAATTTAAGAGACTAGAACTACTGTACAATTTACTTTTGTTTCTCAGACCTTTCATATTTGGCATAAAAAGCCTGGAATTAACCTGCCCCTTGTTTTTGCTACATGAATATACTTTATTTATCAATGTAATTTCTTGGTGGATGAATATTTTAATCTATTTAATAGGAAAGCAGTGTTCAATTTAGTTTTTCAACCAAGTGTAGCATTTTATTTGGATTACCTGCTATTTATATGCAGAATTATGGGTACTACAGACTGCTGTTACTTTCTTTTTTAATTATCTGGAACACTCATCCATCATCAATCTTTCTTTCTTTCTTTTGTTTTTTTAATCCTAGCTTCATATTTCATTGGAATTTTTTGGTTCCTTCTCTTTTTATAGGATTGTCAGTGATTGTAAAATGCCCTTGGCAATCAGCTAGTCCTGATTCAACAACAGAGATAACATTGTCATATCAAAGTTAACCCAATGTATTTGAGTGGAAAAGTCCCATTTGCTCCTCAGGCTCATACACAGGTGCTCCTTGCTTAAAGTGAGGTTTCTATCTGTATTAATTTCTTTTGGGAATGAAAGATGGGAACCAATATGTGAGGCAGGAGGAGGAAAAGGTGATGTTGTGTTTTGTGTTTCATTGTGGTTTTTCAGTTGGTTCAATAAAGTCCAGAAACCACTTTTAATAGGGGTATATTTCCAAAGGCTTGTGTTGGAAATAGTTTCTACAGTCTTGTTTGCTAAAAGTATGTACATCTGTCTTCTGTACAGTATAGTCTTCTTTGAGCTTTGAAATTTAAGGGCCTGATGCTCCTCTCTGTGATGGCTTTGATTTTGCTGGGAGCTGGTCTGTCCATGCAACCTGATGCTTTTCTGGCTTGCTCTTTGAGAACTGTATGAGTTCCAGTGCAGCAAATGATTAAAGTGCATGTTTATCTTAAACCTTACTGAATCTAACCCGATTCTGCAGAGCTCTTAAGGTGATGCTAGGTGCTCTTCTGGGTCTGGGCCTTACAGGTGTCCAGGGAATAAATCTTAGCAAATGAGAATGACAGCAATTCATGCTTCTAGGACACAAAGTATAAATGATAATACAGAAAACAGTGGGGGCAGGTCCTTTTATTTTCTATTTATTAGTGCTTAAGAAACCACCAGCCATCTCTAGCAAGAGGAGAAGCAGCATTTGTAAACAATTTATAGAATAGTAGAGTGACTGCCTAAATTTTGATTCCTGTTTTTTAAAAACATTTAATGTATTGTTTACAATTAAGCAGTACTATCTGAATAATTCTATTACATTTTATGTACATTTTTTAAAAGATGAAAGCAGAAGCTTAAGCTCACTCTTCTCCTGTCTTTACTGACATACCAAAATGTTGTTCTGTTGGTTATTTTCTTGAGAATATTTAGCTGGTAGAATTAAATATATGGATATTTTGCTTTAAGTTATCTACAGATTTTTAAAGTATCTGCAGCTATTTTAAAAGTTCTGTAGATCTTTGATATCTGTGCTCAGGTAATTTTACACAAAGGAAAACAAATCTAAGGTAAATTTTAGATAGGAGCCTTAATCTTGGGTGGGACTAATGCTAAATGATTGTCATGGAGCATTCTTGTAGACTTTGTTTTATGCTTTTTAGCCAAAAGTGATTACCATCTAAGGTGTCCATTTGTCATTCAGTTATACTCTCCAGTCACTACCTTTAGTCTATTGTTTCAATCTTTTTATTTTTTTGTTTTATTTTATTTTTTAACAAACCATATCAGCTGATTCTTCAGAGAACTTCTTGGAGAATTTGCAGTTTATCTTCCCACTGTTGCAAATTGGCAGATCATACGCATGCACTGTTTATTCAGTGGCACTGGAAAGTGATGGATTTGCAGAACTAACAATTCTATTAATCCATACACAGATTCTTGATGTTGTGTATTCAATGTGTTGTACTGTTTATATAACATAATCCATGGTTTAGGTCCATTCTTTTCTGTTCTAGTCAATCCTTTCAGTGTTAGCAGCATCCTGTAAAATTTAAGTCTATGTTGAATTGTCCCAGCCCCACCTCAACCTTATGAAGCCATATTGTATTTTTTTGGTGACATGTACATCTGTTTTATGCATTTGTACATGTGATGTAAATTTGAAGTATTTTTAACAATGTGTGCCTTTAAAGTGATTTAAAGTAAACAGCAGTATGTTCTATTATATAAAAAATAAAATATTTTAACCACCATTTCGGTTGAAGGTATTTATTTTCCTAATTAACCAGTATATTTATTAAGAGCAAACGCTGGTTAGCTAGATCTAGTACAGGATAATTCCACTACCTAACACATTTTCCTGGAGAACATTAGTTGAACTAATTACTTTCTGCTGAGGGGCATCTGAGTGTAGTGCTGGAGCAGGGGAATGAGTTTCTCCACCTACCCCATGTAACTGGTTAAGAGGAAGAGGATGAGTTTCCCTGCCCTACTGAAGACACAGGGAGACTGTCTGCGCCATGTGAGAACCTAAATTCAGAGTTCAGAGTTAGGCATGGTGAGTTGACTTTGTTGTTGTTGCTTTTCATGACTCCAGTGCTCAGTCTTGCAAGGAGCTGACAGCTGTAGTCCCAGTCCAGTAGAGCACTCCAACATTGGCTTTACATCAGGCACAGTCATTTGTACCTAAAGTGCTGTCCTCTGTTTGGGAAATAAAGATCCTTTAAGTGCAAAAGATGTTGAATCATGGCAAAGCGCTTTATATTTCAAATTGACACAGGTAAATCAATATGACCATTACTTAAAAAAATATATATATTAATACAAAGACCCTGTATTCATATATATGATAAGCTGTATTCCATACAGATAATGTATCATCTGTGTGTACCCTTTGTCAATCAGTGGTCCATCTTTTTTGATTGTGTGTAAAGCAAAATGCAGCCCTTTTTTCCTTGATCAGGCAAAGTTCCCTCCAGTTGCAATTGGAGCAGTGGCTGCAAAGGATTGCTGGTAAAACCATTTAGGTGGAAGAAAAAACTTTAAGTACTGTAGTGCTGTGCTGTCCCTGGCAGTGGCAGAGGACACTGCAAGCAGCTCTGCTCTGGAGCAGTGCTGGCTCAGGCAGCTGCCTGCTTTGGGAGCGTATCCTTCACCAGCATGGCATTGCACACTGCTGGCCCACGACACATTTGAGGTGTCTTTTCTATACCAAATACTGAACAAAATTTAAAAATTGACTTTTTGAAGTGGATTCAAATGTCTGTGTTTCCACTGGAAGCTGTATTTCTGTGTGAATTGTAAAACATCTAAAAGGAGAAACATATCAAGTTACCTCTAAGTGCCAGGCAGTGGGAGCTACACGGGGAAAAGAAACATCACGTTACCACTTCTTAATATACTCATGTATGTATTTCCTTATTTCTTTTTAAAACTGAAATAAACTTTAATTTTAGACTTGAGTGTTTTAAGACTGACATTTTTGTAAGATGTGGGAGTTTTTAAGTATTGGCAGGAGAAGGGTCACTCATGTGGGTGTGACTGATGGACAGACTTCAGTAGGGGGCCGAGCCCATGATATAGAAAGAGGACACATGGAAGATATTAAGCACAGGACAAAAGTAGCTCCAAAGATATACACACCTGAAATCAGTCTACTGTCTCTTTGGGTGCAAAAATGCACCAGCTGTGCATATCCTCGCACCAGAAGGTCTTGTGTGTCTGTGTGTATGGGAGGACTCCAGGAACAGCTGGAGCAGCTCTCCAGTTCCCAGCTGAAGAAGCTGGCTGGGGGTTGTGTAGTTATTCCCTCCTTCCATCATTTGCCTTATGCCTGCTGCAGAGAGCAGCTTTCTGTATTCCAGGGAGGCAACAGCAGCAAAGATGGGACCACCCTTACCCTCACTCTCAGCAGAGAAAAGGCTGGGAGCTGGGGGATGTGTACTCTTTTCCATCACAAGCCCTTGTCCTTTGAGTCCTGATGCCTGACCTGGCTCTGGCTCCTCCTTGGTAGCTCCCTGCTGGGAGTGACTGTGCTGCAAAGTGAGCAAACACTTACTTTTGCTTGTTGGATGTTTTATCTGTTGGTTTGTGTAGGAAAAGCTCTAGTGATGACAGGGGCAGGGGGAAAGATGCACACAGCTACTTTCACTCTTGCCTTAGTCCAAGATACTTGTGTATCACAACTAATGCATGAGGGAAAGTGGAAAAAAATTATCCCAGCTAGGTGACATTGTTTCAGTGGTAAGATCAGTCCCTGATTCTGGCTACAGAGATGATGTACAAACTGGACAAAGTAATGAAAAGTGATATTTGACTAGAGCTGGCTGGTTATTACTGTGATGTGTCTCTGCAGCAGCTAAGCTGCACATCTGCTTTCTCCAGGGCCTTCAGGAGAGCTGTGTGGGCAAGCCTGGCAAGGCTGCTCAGGTTTGTACAAGTGCAACAGGGTTCTGGGTGTGCATCACCTGCCACTGGGCAGCTCCTCTCCCTCCCCCTGCTGCCATCACCATGTTGTCTCTCTGTTATGGTTACACCCCAGTTGGAAAGTACAATAGTAATAATTTAGTGCCATCTACTGTCTGCAGATGGTTTACCTGCTATGTCCGGCTTTGAGTGGAGGCATCCACTAGACCCTTCAGAGAAAGTTTGCGCATCTCGGAGGGGTTTGGTCTTGACGCACCACTGTGGTGGCTGCTGTTAATTGAAATAACACAAAACAGGAGCATTCTGAATAAGTTCTGACTTGTGGTATACATTCGTTTATCTTTTTTCTTCTTGTGGGTCCAGCACCCCCGCAACCGGCTGGCTGCGCTGCTCCGCCCGGGAAGCAGTTTCATCTGGCGGGC